CCTGGGGCCAGCCCTGCCTGCCAGGGGAGAGCGCCCCCTGCTGCCCCTACCCCGTCCCTGCAGCACTCCCAGCCCAGTACGGCCCACAGGAGATGAGCCCCACCCCAAGCGAATTCCGGTTGGCCTCTGCCCTGACCCCCTGGGCTGCCCCCCATCCGCATCCGGTCCCCAGCCCGTGGCTCTGAGAGGTCTCTGCCCCCCAGGCCGGTCCCAGCCTGGCCTGCATGGCACGGCCGACAGGAGCTTTGCAGGCCCCAGAGCGGGACCCCGTGGGTCCCCCTGCCGTGCCCGCACCGCTGCTGCACCCCGACGCCCGGGCACGCTCGTCACACCAGCCTAGCCAATCGCAGGCGAGCGGCAGGTTTAGCAAAGCTCTGATTGGCTGGGCTTGCCATGATGCCATGTCTCCCCAGCCAATCGGGCGGCGCAGGGCCGGGCACGGCCGTGCGAGAGCAAAGGCAGAACCACTCACCAACCGCAAGCTCCTGATCACGTCGCGCTCCCTCGGCTAGCCAGCAAGAGCAGTGCAAAGAAAGGAGGCAAAGGCCAGAGGGCAGAGGTCAGGGGTCAGAGGTCAGCAGACAGGTACAAAGAAGCAGAAAGTTGAGTGTAGCAAAGTAACGTGAATGTGTTAAAAGCCCACGATGCACCGGGGGGACCGAGTCTCGGGCGCGGGGTGGGGTGAGGCCAGGGCCTGAGCCGGGGGGGCCCTGGGGGCAAGGGGGGGCCTAGGAACCAGACTGATTTCCCTAGTAGGTACAGCAAGCAAGAGGTCAGGGGTCACAGGGCATGCGGGGTCAGCAGGTAGGTGTGCCGGGGAAGCAAGGGGCCCGATCCTCCTTCAAGGGGCCCGGGGGTCTGGGGGAGGTAGTGCTGGGCCGGGCCAGGGGCCCAGCCTATGGGTCAGCGGGCGAGGACGTGCCCGGGCGGGGGGTGACGCGGGGGGGGGGAAGGGGGGGGGGGGGGCAGGGGGGGGTAGCAGCGCAGAGCAGACACTCGCCCTGAGAACCTCTCCCCTCCCCAAAGCTGCTCTGTGCCCCGCCCCGGCCAGGACAGGGCTCCCTGCGCTGGGCACCGGACGGCGGAGGAGGGAGCCAGCAGAGAGGCGGCTGTGCGGAAGCGGCAGTCCGGAAGCCAGCGGCGCCACCTACCAGCGTGTCCCCCGAGAGCACCTCCAGCAGCGAGATGAGGTTGTGGCCATCCCGCAGGTCCTCGTACAGGTCGCTGACATGGCGCTGAGCCTGCGGAGACGGAAAGGAACCGTTACCGGGGGCAAAGCTAACACCAGCCATGGAGCCGCCGGCCAGCCCTCGGCCCAGCCCCGAGCCAGGCAGGCTGCCCTGACCCAGCTGACAAGGGGGGCAGGAATCTGACTCGTTCCCCAAAGAACCGCACGGAAGGGCTCACATGAAAGCCATGGTCACACTGGTCATCACGGTCACTGCAAAATGCACGTGTGTGCCATGCAAGGCGGCGAGGCTCCGAACCAGAACACCGTGTTCCCAAAGGCGACATGCCTGAACCCGCGTCCTCCACACAGGAGACAAGGGAGTGCTGTACATCAGAGCCGCAAGCTAGACACCGGACGCCCATTTACACACAAAGGCAAACGTGAGCCAAGAGCGGTGACGTCACCCGGAACGGAGCACACAGGGACAAGCAAGCCTCAGGGGTTGTCCTGTCTAGGCGTAAAACCGATGAACTCTGGGGGTGTTTCCAGAAAGCAGAGGATACCCTCCGCCCCCCACCCGGTGCCCTGGGGACAGCGCGTCGGTAGTCAGGAAAGCGGGGGCTCAGCCAGCCTGGGCTGGAAACACTGGAGAGAACGTGGGGTGAGAACACTCTTGAGCCAGGAGGGGAACCGGGTAGCGGAGCGCAGGCTCCAGAGAGCGGGCGACCATTTGGTTTCAGTAGCCTTCTCCCTGTCACCTGGACGGTTGCTCTTTCTCCCTGTGCCGGGTCCCCAGCCAGGCGCTGGCCCTGGGCTGCGTCTCACGGCGGGCCTGGGCATTCTGCGGGGCTTGGCATGTGCCTATCGCTAACCTGTGTGGGGCTAGCGGGGTCTGTGGGGCCTGGCAGGCAGCGTTTGCACTGCCCGAGGCTGGTGGTTTCAGGGCCTGACCCACCCTGGGGACTGGGCTGGCCGCCTTCCCCGCTGCACTGATGCTGGCAGGGCCAGGCTGGGGCCAGAGCGCCTGGCTCCGGGTGCTGTAGTGCGCTGCCCCTGAGCCCTGCCAGCCCATGGCCTCCGCCCCCCACAGCCCCGAGCCCATGGCCCCGCCTGGGGAGCAGCGAGGGAGACAGGAGCCATGCGCGATGCCGTGGGTCACGCCGTGCACAGGACCGGATGCCACCTACCTCTGCTCGCCAGTGCTGCCGCAGGAGGGGAGGGCAGGGAGAGAGAGAGAGGGGGGTTAGGAGCAGAGAGGTGGCGCAGACCCGGCGTTCAGCTCCCCAGGCACAGCGTGGGGACGCCCGGCCTGCTGCCAGTGCTCCCGCCAGCTGCCCCCGCCCTGGGGCCATGAGCACAGCAGGGATCCTGGGCCCCCCACACTGGACGCTCCACTCTGGGCGGTGGCCCTGGAGCCCCTCGGCTTGGCCAGGTGCAGCCCACAGGGAGAGCCCGGCCCAGCAGGCCTCTGGGAGCGAGGGGGAGCCCAGCCAAAGCAGAGAGACCCCCTCCCCCCACGGCGGAACTGCGGAGCTGCACAGAGCAGGGGCTCCTTGTGCCAGCCTCACATGGGTCAGGCCAGCGAGCTCCCATCCACCCAGCCCCACAGCCTGCAGTGCAGCCAGCCCGGCCATCGCCCGCCTGGCCCCATGTGCAGCCCCCCATGGGCCGCCCTGCGCTCTGCCT